GGTATTTGCACGGCAATTTTTAAATGCAAAAATACACTTTAATGAATTACAAAAAAAAACACAATATATAACAAATTTTTTATGTAAAATATAAAAGCTGATGTTACGCCAAGTAAACAGATACCCAACATATCATGCTTTAAAATTGCTCACGTTAATATAATAAAATACACTTTAAAAAAATTTTCAACCCCCCCCCCCCCCTTCCCCATGCTCGTGCATTGGCTCTAGTACTTAATCTCCATAGGTGTCCCTTTAAAATTCGCAGCGATACCTCACATGTGATTTGACCACCATTTACATATGTGGGTGTGACCTATGTATGTATTCATCACTGCGCACAAGCACGGGGGCTTTAAAAATGTTTTTACATTTATTTTTTTTTTTTTTTTACGGTGTCCCTTTTTCAAATTTTTTTTTTTTTTATTACTTTTATTCCTATCACAAGGAATGTAAACATCCCAACATCCCTTGTGATAGAAATAAGCAGTGACAGGTCCTCTCTATGGGGAGATCTGGGGTCTGTAAAACCCCACATCTCTCCTCTACAATGTAAAGCATTAGATTTAAAAAAACAAAACTAAGAAAAAAAAAAAACACAAAAATCACTGATCTAAAGCTTAAAACAAAAATGGCCCTGTTTGTATTAGGCCTGGACATGAAGTGACGTAATGACGTCGTTCCTGTCCTCCTAGACCAGTGGTCGGCAAGCCGCGGCTCGCGAGCCACATGCGGCTCTTTACCCACTCTAATGCGGCTCTTCTGTGTGCCGGGCGCCTGCTCCCCTCCCTCCTCTCGGTCGGCCGCTCCCCTGCCTCCTCTCGGTTGGCAGCCCCAAAAGTCCGCGCGGACCTTTTTTTTAATCCGGCCCGCGGATGTGGCTGTCAGGATGTGTGTAGGCGGGGCAGCGTGCCGAACGTGAGGGGAGGGGAGCTAGGCTCCTCTCACAGTCCGCCCTGAAGACCCGAACGGCGCGGGAAGACAGCGAGAGGAACGCAAAAGGTAAGTGAATTGACACGGGGGACTTGGCTTACTAGAAGGGGGGGGGATAGTACTGTGGGGGATGAAATACTATATGAGGGATGAATTACTTTATGAGGGATGAATTACTATATGGGGGGATGAAATACTATATGAGGGATGAAATACTATATGAGGGATGAATTACTATATGGGGGATGAATTACTATATGAGGGATGAAATACTATATGAGGGATGAATTACTATATGGGGGGCATGAATTACTATATGGGGGATGAATTACTATATGAGGGATGAAATACTACTATATGAGGGATGAAATACTATATGGGGGGATGAAATACTATATGAGGGATGAAATACTATATGAGGGATGAAATACTATATGGGGGGATGAAATACTATATGAGGGATGAAATACTATATGAGGGATGAATTACTATATGGGGGGATGAAATACTATATGGGGGGATGAAATACTATATGAGGGATGAAATACTATATGAGGGATGAATTACTATATGGGGGATGAAATACTATATGGGGGATGAAATACTATATGGGGGATGAAATACTATACGGGGGATGAAATACTATACGGGGGATGAAATTGCTATGGGGGATGAATTACTATATGGGGGGATGAATTTACTATGGGGGATGAATTACTATATGGGGGATGAATTACTATGGGGGATGAATTACTATATGGAGGATGAATTACTATATGGGGGATGAATTACTATATGGGGGGATGAATTACTATGGGGGATGAATTACGATGGGGGATGAATTACTATGGGGGATGAATTACTATATGGGGGATGAATTACTATGGGGGATGAATTACTATATGGGAGATGTATTTTCAGTTTTAAAAATGTGGCTCTCAAAATAAATTTCAATCATGGTTTTGGCGAGATTTGGCTCAGTTGAAAAAAAAGGTTGCCCACCACTGTCCCTAGACCATAGAGCTGAGTTAAGGCCATCTTTCCTTCACTCACCTCACTTCTTTCTATGCCCAGCCAGCGCGATCATCAGATCAGTTCTCGGGCTCACCGATCAGGGAAGCCCGAGAACCACCGGAAAGCGGCAGGAGGAGAGGGGCGACTCCTCCTGCCACTTCTAAAAGTGATCTAGTGGCGAATCCACCGTTAGGTTCACTTTTAGTAGAAAGGGAATCACCGGATGAAAGAAACAATACTGGAGTTATGGCACATTCCTGCAGCCATAACCCGGGTATTCCTCTCCCAGCTAAGGACGTATTTTTACTATGGCCTGGTTTAATTGTAATATACACGGCTCAAAAAAATTAAAGAGACTTTTTAATCAGAGTATAGCATGAAGTAAATGAACCTCCTGGGATATTGATCTGGTCAGGTAAGTAGCAGAGGGGTTTGTTCATCAGTTTCAGCTGCTTTGGTGTGTATGAAATTAACAACAGGTGCACTAGATGGGCAACACTGAGACGACCCCCAAAACAGGAATGGTTTTACAGGTGGAGGCCACTGACATTTTTTTCCCTACTCTTTTCTGACTGGTTTTCACTCATTTTGCATTTGGCTAGGGTCAGTGTCACTACTGGTAGCATGAGGCCATACCTTGACCCTACAGAGGTTGCACAGGCAGTCCAACTCCTCCAGGATGGCACATCAATACATGCCATTGCCAGAAGGTTTGTTGTGTCTCCCAGCACAGTCTCAAGAGCATGGAGGAGATTCCAGGAGACAGGCAGTTCCTCTAGGAGAAGTGGACAGGGCTGTAGAAGGTCCTTAACCCATCAGCAGGACCGGTATCTGCCCCTTTGTGCAAGGAGGAACAGGATGAGCCCTGCCAGAGCCCTACAGAATGACCTCCAGCAGGCCACTAGTGTGAGTGTCTCTGACCAAACAATCAGAAACAGACTTCATGAGGGTGGCCTGAGGGCCCGACGTCCTCTAGGGGCCCTGTGCTCACTGCCCGGCACCATAGAGCTGGATTGGCATTTGCCAATGAACACCAGAATTGGCAGGTCCACCACTGGCACCCTGTGCTTTTCACAGATGAGAGCAGGTTCCCCCTGAGCACATGTGACAGACGTGAAAGGGTCTGGAGAAGCCATGGAGAACATTCTGCTGCCTGTAACATGGTTCAGCATGACCGTTTTGGTGGTGGGTCAGTGATGGTCTGGGGAGGCATATCCATGGAGTGACACACAGACCTCTACAGGCTAGACAATGGCATCCTGACTGCCATTCAGTATCGGGATGAAATCCTTGGACCCATTGTCAGACCCTACACTGGTGCAGTGGGTCCTGGGTTCCTCCTGGTGCAGTGGGTCCTGGGTTTCTCCTGGTGCAGTGGGTCCTGGGTTCCTCCTGGTGCAGTGGGTCCTGGGTGTTCTTCCTGGTGCAGGACAATGCCCGACCTCATGTGGTGAGAGTATGCAGGCAGTTCCTGTAGGATGAAGGAATTGATACCACTGAATGGCCCCCACGCTCACCTGACCTAAATCCAATAGAACCCCTCTGGGATGTCATGTTTCGGTCCATCCGATGCCGCCAGGTTGCACCTCAGACTGTCCAGGAGCTCAGTGATGCCCTGGTCCAGATCTGGGAGGAAATCCCCCAGGACACCATCCATCGTCTCATTAGGAGCCTCCCCCGACGTTGTCAGGCATGCATACAAGCACGTGGGGGCCACACAGATCTACTGAGGACCATTCTGAGTTGCTGCAATGACATTTCAGCAAGATGGACTCGCCTGCTGCATTATTTTTTCACTTCGCTTTTTGGGGTGTCTTTGAATTCAGTCCTCTGTAGGTTGATAATAATTTCCAGCAAACGATGGGACATCCTTACGTTCCTCACACATCACCCCGTCCATGTCAGTATAGAGATCCAGCAGGAGATTTTCCCCATTGAGATCTGATGGGTTTTCAAATTGTTCCTTTCATTATTTTTGAGCCGTGTGTATAATGTATATTCTGTATATGACTTTTGTATTATACACAATTTGGCTCTGACTTCTCAGGTGGAAGGAGCTCTCCTAGCTTTCCTCCGGGTTGTGGAGGGAATGCTGGCACATTTGGCTGCTGCTCCTCTCACCGCTGCTCATTTTTTGTTTTCTTTGTAAAGCACTTTGAGAAGCTACTTTTGAAGGCACTATATAAAATAAAGTTTATTATTATTATATGCTGCCATCTAGTGGATGCAAATTAGAGAGGAGCTTTGGGTTCAGATCCTCAGTGAGTGACCTGAACCTGAGCTGTTTTAACCACTTTACAACTATGCTATTATTTATTATTATTATACAGGATTTATATATTATTATTATACAGGATTTATATATTATTATTATACAGGATTTATATATTATTATTATACAGGATTTATATCGCGCCAACAGTTTGCTCAGTGCTTTACAATATAATGGGAGACAATACAGCAACAATACAGTTCAATACAAGAGGGTTAGGAGGGCCCTGATCCTGGGAGCTTACAATCTAAGAGGGAGGGGCTAGTGGTACAAAAGGTAATAACTGTGGGGGAGGGACTGGTAAGAGGAGTAGAAGATTCCATTATTACCGGAGGGCAGGATAGGCTTCCCTGAAGAGAGAGGTTTTCAGAGATCGCCTAAAAGAGAGCAGAGTAGGCGATAGTCTGATAAATTGGGGTAGAGAGTTCCAGAGGATGGGGGAAGCTCTGGAAAAGTCCTGGAGATGAGCATGGGAGGAGGAGACAAGGGAGCTAGAGAGCAGGAGGTCTTGCGAGGAGCGGAGAGTACGGTTTGGGTGATATTTGGAGACAAGATTGGTGATGTAATTTGGGGCAGAGTTATAAATGGCTTTATATGTTAATGTTTTGAATTTTATCCGTTGGGCAACGGGAAGCCAGTGGAGGGATTGACAGAGGGGTGGAGGACACTGAGTGGAGGCCAGCGGAGGGATTGGCAGAGGGGTGGAGTACACTGAGTGGAGGCCAGTGGAGGGATTGGCAGAGAGGGGTGGAGGACGCTGAGTGGAGGTCAGTGGAGGGATTGGCAGAGAGGGATGGAGGACACTGAGTGGAGGCCAGTGGAGGGATTGGCAGAGAGGGGTGGAGGCCAGTGGAGGGATTGGCAGAGAGGGATGGAGGACACTGAGTGGAGGTCAGTGGAGGGATTAGCAGAGAGGGGTGGAGGACACTGAGTGGAGGTCAATGGAGGGATTAGCAGAGAGGGGTGAAGGACACTGAGTGGAGGTCAATGGAGGGATTGGCAGAGAAGGGTGGCAGATACAGAACGGTTAGTAAGGTGGATGAGTCTGGCAGCAGCATTCATGATAGACTGAAGAGGGGATAGCCTGCGATGAGGTCGGCCAATGAGGAGGGAGTTACAATAGTCAAGGCGAGAGATAACAAGGGAGTGAATAAGTTACTTAGTGGTTTCCGAGGTTAGGAACGGCCGTATCTTGGAGATGTTGCGGAGGTGAAGTCTACAAGATTTGGACAGAGATTGGATTTGGGGCTGAAAGGACAGATGGGAGTCTAGGATTACACCTAGTACCCTGGCATGAGGGGAGGGACGGACGGTTGTATTATTGATCTTGATGGAGAAGTCAGGGGGGGGGGGGGGGGGGGGGGGGGGGGGGGGGCACAGGCTGGGGGGAATACTAGGAGCTCAGTTTTGGAAAGATTGAGTTTGAGGAAGTGGAGTGACATCCATGCCGATATGTCACTTAGTAGGTTAGTAATGTGAGAGGAGACTGAAGGGGTGAGGTGAGGAGGAGACAGATAGATTTGTGTGTCATCAGCATAGAGATGGTACTTAAAGCCATGGGAGTTTATCAAGTGACCAAGGGAGGAGGTGTAGATGGAGAAGAGAAGGGGTCCAAGGAAGGATCCTTGAGGCACCCCTACTGCTATAGCCGAATGACGGCTACAGCAAGGTTGTCCAGTTCTGGGAGGGCGTCATATGACCCCCCCCCCCCAGAACGTGCCCCCAGCACTGTTTGTGATCGCTTTGTCCTAAGGACACAGCTGATCACATAAGATAAATCACAGCAGCCTTTTTACCATGTGATCAGCTGTGTCCAATGATCACAAAGTAAGTACAGTTGCTGGTTATCGGCAGCACTTTCCTCACTGTCACAGCGTAAGGAAAGCACTGTCGATAACCGGCAAGTGTCACAGAGGACATCTGCACTGATAATCGGGGCACTGATTATCAGTGCAGCCCCAAAAGTGACCAGCAGTAGTGCCCAGCAGTGCCACCCGTCAGTGCCCATCAGTGTCACCTATCAGTGCTGCCTATCAGTACAGCCTTATCAATGCAGATCACCGAAGGAGAAAATTTACCTGTTTGCAAAATGATATAATAGAAACAAAGAAACTTTTTTTTTCCAAATGTTTTGCTCTTTTTTTCGTGTAGGGCTCATGTACACTGTAGCTGATGTAAACTCACGTTAGGAGCTGTTCAGTGTTTTTTTTCCAGCAGCCCCTGAACTCTCCCTAATGTTTTCCTATGTCTCCATGTACACATCTTCAATTGGCATTTGAGTTTACAATCATTTTTTTGAACGCAGAAAATGTGTGTTCAGCAGTTGATTTTATCAGCATTTCAAACGCAAAACGCTTCTAAATGCAACAAATTGCATTTAGAAGCGTTTGCGGTCAAAATGTATTTTTAACTCTTCCAGTTCCCGATGCTGTCCAGAGCCTTTTTTCATCATGAAAAATGCATGGAAAGCATTTTCAAGGTACTCAGATGGACAAAACACTGAACACAGGATGTTCCTACCAAGCTTGTCACACATTGGAATGACCAATTCACACCTCAGACCTCTCCCACCCTTGGAAACAAAAGATATGTTAATGACAAATTCACACCTCAGACCTCTCCCACCCTTGGAAACAAAAGATATGTTAATGACCAATTCACACCTCAGACCTCTCCCACCCTTGGAAACAAAAGATATGTTAATGACAAATTCACACCTCAGACCTCTCCCACCCTTGGAAACAAAAGATATGTTAATGACCATTCAGACCTCTCCCACCCTTGGAAACAAAAGATATGTTAATGACCATTCACACCTCAGACCTCTCCCACCCTTGGAAACAAAAGATATGTTAATGACCATTCACACCTCAGACCTCTCCCACCCTTGGAAACAAAAGATATGTTAATGACAAATTCACACCTCAGACCTCTCCCACACTTGGAAACAAAAGATATGTTAATGACCATTGAGACCTCTCCCACCCTTGGAAACAAAAGATATGTTAATGACCATTCACACCTCAGACCTCTCCCACCATTGGAAACAAAAGATATGTTAATGACCAATTCACACCTCAGACACCTTTCCCACCCTTGGAAACAAAAGAAAAGTTAATGAGCAACACACACCTAAGCTGATCTCAATACATACTGCTGTCTCTGCTTCTACTCTCTGTATTTCTCTGAAACAGTCTGAAATAGTTAATAATTTACCACTTTTCAGTGCATTCTGGGCATTTGGGAGGTTCTCCTGTTGTCAGAACCTGGTTTCGAACCTGGGCCTTCTGCGGTGAGAGGCAATGTTGCTGAGCCACGTGGAATGCTGGACAGCTCCCTTGACAATTATTTGGATGATCCTACCTTGACTTTGTTTATCTTGAACCTTGAACCCCTTGCTCCTCCCATGAACTTCCAGATAAAAGTCATGTCTCTGCATTTCCTGTTTGCCAGATTATTGTGCCTTCCAGCCAATATACCGCTTGTCTCTCCTGCTGCCGTCTATACCTTTGCTACCGACCTTTGGCTTGTTCCTGGACTACGATTCTGCCTCGTCCTCATCTATTACCATTTGTGACCGATCCTTGGCTTGTTGAATGACTTCGATTCTGGCTTGCTCATTCCCTGGTGGGGTGATCCTGAGATCTGCAACATGGTACTAACACGTCGCCAAACCCATCTCCTTCATTAGGAGCTCTGGTGAATACTGGTTAGTGCTTAGACCCCGCACCTCAGGTAAGCCTGCGTAATTTCCCAGGGTTAAAACATATATTTTTTTTAATTTTCTGTCTTTTTTTGTTTGTTTATCAAGAAATAAAACACCCAGTGGTAAATAAATACCACCAAAAAAAAACGCTATTTGTGTGAAAAAAAATTTCTATATGGGTACAGTGTTGCATGACTGCGCAATTGTCATTCAAAGTGCAACGGCACTAAAAGCTGAAAATTGGCCTGGACAGGAAGAGGTGAAAGTGCCCGGTAGGCAAGGGGTTAAAGGAATCGTGTATTTTTTATTGTTGCCCTTTAACCACTTCAAGTCCTGACACTTTCACCCCTTCCTGTCCAGGACAATTTTCAGCTTTCAGTGCTATCACACTTTAAATGACAAGTGCGTGGTTATGCAACACTACCCATATGACTTTTTTAGTATTTTTTTTGAGACAGATAAAACTTTATTTTGGTGGTATTTATTCACCACTGAGATTTTTATTTTTTTGCTATAGAAATGAAACATTTCAAAAATTTTGAAAAAAAAAAAATGTTTTTCTTATAAAATTTTGCAAATAAATAATCTTTCTTCATAAATCTTGGCTAAAATGTATTCAGCTATCTTTAGTAAAAAAAAATAAAATAACCCAAAAGTTATAATTTTTCAAAATATTTTTTACATTTTTATTTTATTTTTTTTTTATATTATTTATGTTTTTTTTTTAACATACTCTCACCCTAGTCGTACATGGTTAACAGTGACACTATACTAGTTGTGGGGGGTGATAAAGATTATTTTTTTTTTTCCTTTTTTTTTTTTACACTGATTGCTTTTACATCCATAAAGGCTGTAAAAGCAATCATTTCTCCTTCTCTCTCTGGCTGCATTCTTGCAGCCATTGAGAAATACTGTGTGAGCTGTGATTGGTCACAGCTTGTCACATGGTACAAGGCTGTTGTGACTAGCCTTGTACCATGTGACCTCTGTGATCATTCACAGAGTTCACACGTAGTAAGCAATGATGTCAGGAAGTGACATCTTGCTTACTGCTATTCATGTGATCACTGATCGGCCAATCAGTGATCACATGATCGGGACCTCAGGACACAGCAGGCAGGGAGCGGAAGCGGGGGGACGTTTAGAAATGTCAACCCGCTTCGGCAGCGCTCCCGTCCGGATGTTTATCTACATGGGCTGGAAAGGACGTGGTTAAGCTGCAATATCAGAATAGCTAAATCGGGCTTTTGAACCTTTTTTTTTTTTTTTTGCATTGGTTCATCTTCCCCATGGCAGTTCTCAGCTGCTTTTTTTTTTTTTTTTTTTATAGCAAAAACTTAAAAATTGTCCTTAAAAAAAGTGCAGAAAAAAACCCAAGATTTGGCTTTCATAGACTGTGTAATGGGGTTCAGGGACGTGTTTTGGGTTTGCAGACTTTTTGTTCAGCGAAGGTTTTAGTGAACCACACTTTGCTGGGTTGGCTCCTTCACTGATACTTGATCCCTGCCTCGTCACTGCAACATTGGACCACAAATTTCTTACTGTAATGGAACCGACCCCAGACTGCACTTTGGGTACTTGCGTTAGACTACCGCTTCCCCGTCCGAACACTGACAACAGACACCACAGCTGACCATACAAGACTAGACAACACCAGTCTTGATGTAAACCAGGAATAGACTAGTTTATTTTAACACAGATACAAGATATATACACTCAGGGGACAATCCCCCCTACCTGCATAATGACACAGGGTGGGACAATCTACATTTAGTAACGAGACACACCAGCAGACAGTCCCAGCAGGAGGGAGGGCTGCTGGAGACACCCCCCCCCCCCAAGCTAATACCCATAAACACATACATCCCATAATAGTTTGCTCCCAAGCAAGACACATAATAGAACAATGGGATGCAACCACAAGGCATTAAACAATCATAAACCCCCCACCCCAATATTAGGACAGATCACCCTGTACCCCTAACAGGCACAGGGTGACTTACACATAATAGGGATATGGGGAGCTGAGACAGGGGTCTCCCCACCTCTCTAAAGTGAGCTGGTTCCATTGGCTCCCCACCCAAAGTGACTCCTGTCACACTTTGTGGGCTTTGTGTTGGAGCATACAAAGGTTTACTTTCCTCTCTGGTAATGTACAGTACTGTGCAAAAGTTTTAGGCAGGTGTGAAGAAATGCTGTAAAGCAAGAATGCATTCAGAAATATATATTGATTTGTTTATTTTTATCAATTTACTAACTGAAAAGTGAGCAGAGCAGAAGAAAAATCTAAATCCAATCAATATTTGTTGTCACTACCCTTTGGCTTCAAACCAGCATTCATTCTTCCACTTGCACACAGTCAGGGATTTTGTAGGAAGAAAGTAAGATGTATGATTAACCAGTTATAGCAAGCAGGTGCTAATGATCATCAATTTCATATGTAGGTTGAAACACAGTCATTACCTGAAACAGAAACAGCTGTGCAGGATGCTTAACCCCTTGACGCCGATGTCACACAAATCTGCGGCCTCACAGAACTGGGCTTTTTTTCCGTGGGGCTGCATA